TTTTTTTTTTTTTTTTTTTTTTTTTTTTATTTTGTTTTATCTTACTTGCAATGTGTTATGTGTCCGCATGTCAGAAATACTTTTGCACATAAAATATGTTTTATTTAATTTAATTTCTTTTTTTTTTTTTTTGTTTTTTTTTTTTTTTTTTTTTTTGTTCGTTCTCGTATTCTCATGTTTTTTTAATAAAAAATTCTCACATAAGTAATGTTATTTTTTTTTCCTGGTTATGCATTCACCGATTTCTATAAATAACTTTTCTTCTTATTCAGATTTCTTTTTTTATTCTTAATAAGACTGTTTTATAATGCAAAAGTTTATCTTATAAGGCATCAGCACCTTCGCACATCTGAGATGACAATAATTTGTTGTAAAATGCATCGTTTTTGTAGTTGTCACAATCGATCGTGATGATTGATTAAAGTAAATATTTTCAATGTACTATTTGTGTTATGACTCCGCGTCTGTGTTAGGCAAGGTTAAGAAACAATTATACGTGCGGCAAAATACTTAACTAAATATGATACACTGCTTTAAAGTGAAGTTCTGCTTAAATGCACTCTTACCTTACTTGGCCTAACATCTTCCATTTTCATCGGTAACACTACACGCCCGACTCTACTTGAAGAATTATTCAAGGACACCTTTTTTTTCTTTTTTTTTTTTTTACAATTGGAAATATTGTGAGGTCTACAATGAAGGCGATAATAACGCTTTCACATGTTCGAAGTTTCTGCCTAAGTGAGGAATGAAACCTTAACGACGCCAGTTCTTGCATAAGATTAAATTCGTGATTCATTGAGGATTTTTGAAATTAAGCTCGCACTTGCATTTGTCTTCCGCAAATATTCTGCTTACGTACCCGTTTACAAGGAAGTTACAATACAGCATACTATTCCCTTTTTCCACAAAATATTGTGCGAGCTATTTTTATTCGTCTCGCCAGTCGCCATCTGCAGGGCGACAGGTTAGACCGCATGACCATGTCTTCGCTTTTACAATTTTTACAATTTAGTTACTTAGAGCCTCGCTTTGCCAGTTGCAAGGCTATTACCAAAGTTTATACCCAGATTTGTTTTTTAGGGTAGGGCCTTCTACAAGTGGCGGGCTGAAGTTAGCTTAGCGACGAAAAGGGAGAAGTAATTTTCTCTCTTCTTAAGCACAAAGAAACGAATATTAAGTCGCACTTTCTTCCAGGAACCGTCTTATTGTGAGAACTTACTCAATATTTTCGATCGTGATTACGGTTTTGACCATCCTGTACATTCATGGTTATCCAAGCAGGCACGTTTCAATTTGACTGCCAACACTTTCACGTTCATCCATATGATGGTTGCGGAGCCTCGTAAACAGCGAGCAACGTGCCTTTAATGTGTGACGGTGATGAGACTTTGATACTCAATTTGTTACATTTTCACACCAACACTTACATCGGTCCATTCATATGACAACCGCGCGTCCAAACTTTTTTATGCACATACATATTTACCCAACTTTTATGTGCTTTACCGTGTGCTTTACAGTTTTCATATTCAAGTCAGAAACTTTTCAGTCAAGTTGCGTACATTCATTGTGTTAAGAAATTACTCTTATCTTTCCTCTCTCACTCTGTCAAGGAGATTTTGATCACAAACTTTCCGCACATCTTCATTCTAAGATAAGAAGATAGCATTAACGTTATTAGCTGACCGACAATTATTTCGACAACGGATGGTCGAATAGATGAGGATTGCGAATATCAAGTCAATGTTTGCGGGTGCAAATCTCAAGTGCGGCAGAGTTTACCTTTGTTGTAGGTATAGAGAATCGTAGCGGCAAAATCATAACACTTACAGATTGGACACACATCCATTAAGATGCGGGCCACCATCCTCCTATCTCTTTTCCATTTCCTCCCCGTCACCGTGTTACACGCATATGAGGCATATTGTATGAGAAAATATTTCGACAGTGAAACTAAACATTTGCAGTTAGTTTCCATATAGATATCGAATTTTAGCCAGTAAAATGGCAAATGTTGTCGACTTTTGACAAAGCCATCAGGTGTAATAGTTTGTCCTTCTAACAATCAAAAGGTAACGAGAGAAAAACGTAAGGAAGCAAAGAAATGTGTTCGCCCTCAGATCCCTTCAGGCGATTATGCGTATCTGAGTGTGATCAACTGTTTGTTTTCCAAATGCAGTACAACTTCACAAATCAAAGACAAATTGGACGCTGCCCCGTCCTATATAGGATGATGAAGTTTTTGTAGCTGAACTGAAACGTAACCATGCAAGCTTCGATGACGATAAATATGAGTATATATTTATTGGCCCAATCCGCTGTTTCATGATCTCAGAGAATAAAAATGTAAAATTTTAAAATCACAATAATTTAATTAATAAATAAACAGAACAACAACTTTGAACCGATCTTTGGAATTGATCAACTATAATTTATAAATCTATGAAATCTATGTTTTCTATTGAGGAGAAAACCGATTCTCAATACTAGCGTCAAAAAGTGACCGAGTCATAACATCACACAATATGTCTCCGTAGCGCTACAGATCTGTAAATCTATATAATTTCTGGTTAGCAACAGCATTCACACGAAACGCGTCCAAACTGGTACCAGCTAGAAATCAAGACTGATACCATATATATTAATATGTCAGACAGAACACTTATCAAGTGATTTGTTATCACTTTGGGTTGGTCTGTGCTATGACATACGAATGAAGTAAACATGCGCAGAAAGTCAATTCTTTATGCAACTAATTAATGAAGCTTTCTGCAGAATCCTATGCGGGAGTTTCGCGGTGGCTAGGAATAGGCCAAATCACGGGGACAGCTTTTGCTCGGCGAAATATTTAGGTATACCTCGTTCTCATCAAAGGAGAGGCATATGTGCATGTACGTTTCCCATCGGCACTCGGCATCTAATTACCCTCGCCGCACTTTTGTGCATTTGTACGGAGACTAATTATCCTCGGGACGCTGAATATGCATTCCGTGTGTTATTCGGCACCGTGGGGTCAAACCCCTAAAGAATCCTATACGTTCATACTACTCAACCAAATCTCTAATAATACAATGCTGGATGCAATCCTCCTATATTACATTATTGAAGCTGAAAACTTGGTATTTTATTCATATATTTATGAAATTTGGAATCAACAATTCCATTATCTAACTAATATCTACACTGAACATTTAATTTATAAACTATACTTTAGGCAGTCTCGTCTTCTACTATACTGTAAATATATTATCGTTGGCTTTACATTATGTACATGTTATATGTGAGGAGAATGCAAAAAGTCAGTGCACTTTGAATGTATTCATGTGAACTTTATGTTTTTATATATATTTTTTTCATTTTCTTTTTTTTTTCACTAATCTGCCAGATGCAAAACGCAGTTTTGAACTTTTCGTCTCTGAAGAGGTTAATTTGTTTGCATCCTAAAAGTATGCATCAATTTAGTATTTATTGTACAAAATCACTTAATATACTTACTATCCGTAGAAAACTATAAAATTTTTGTTTTTCAGTTTGTTAATATGTTGTTATGAAAACTCGCACGAGCAAAATTTGCAAAAATTTCAAAATATTCCTTGTTGTAAGGAAAACATAATTTATTCTAATTCATCTTGGTTGAATATTTTAAAAACATTTTCCTTAACATATTTTGCAAGTTGATTGCAAGAAATTGTTCTTCCAAATGTGTTAAGCATTTTTCAAAATGTTTTATATTAATTGCATGAACAACGAATTTCAAATCAAAGAAAAAAATCAGCTAAGATTATTTTAAATATTTCCTTAACCCTTTTTCCAGTTTTTTTTTTTACGCTTTGTTGTGGCGTTTTCTTTCTTAAAGATATCATCAACATTTGTCCCATATGGAAACTTTTTTCATAAGAATTCGCCGTCAACAAACACAAACTTACAAAGGCTTTCGCCGAAAAAATTCGACAAAATTCGAAAACAATTTATACAATTTTCATGTCAATAAGACTCGAACGGGCAGAAATTGAAGAAAACATTTTACAGGCTTCGTTGTGAATTCATCGATGGAAGGCGTTGCAAGCCAGGCTTTTATGATTTTTAGTTTAGACAAATCGATACTTTCAAGATACAGTTACAAAACAAGCCGTAACGTTACCCCCGTATAGATGATCAAGATGATCTTAATAAAAAGCTCCCTTACTTGTTTCATTCGGAATTCCTTTGTATTTATTTTTATTTTTACATTTTATTTAATTAAGCTAAGTAACAAATGGAATTATTTTCTAAAAGGAATTACAAAGAAACGAAATATATGGCAATAGGAGGAGATCAATAAATGAAAAGAGATGCTTAAAGAAATCTATGGTAACTCTTAAGAAACCGGTAAATGATCGCCTTGAGGTTGAAAACCATTCTCATCCGCTAGATAGGTAACTGTATAAGTTTGACCATCATCGCCTACGTACGTATAGACGCCACGAATAACAAGACTTTCATCGTCCTGGCCGGCGTTTTTTAACTGACCTTCAGCTTGAGCCTCCGTACCATCGCTTGTAGCAAAGCTGCGTACATATGTGCAAATTGTATAAAACATAGTCAATTTCTATAACGAATCTGTATACTTACGCATATCTAAAGGAATCTATTCCAAAATCCGTGTCGTGACGCAAAATTTCCGTTTGTTCTGGTTTTTTAGGTGGAGCAGCCAAACCGAAAGCAAAAAGGAATAAAAAAAAGATAATAAAAAATTTCATTTTTTAACTTTGTTTACGCGTAGTTGACTTAAACAGTTGATAAAATGTTGTGACGCTTTCAATTCAACTGTTGTAACAATTTATAGTAAAAATCCAAACCAGAAGATAACCATAATTTATACACATACGCACATTTACTCATCAAAATGTTAAGAATTCATGGAATTAGTGAAAAACGAACCAAAAAATACGCACACGAATGCGTACATAATAAAGTATTACAATAAAAAAAATAAAAAAAAAAAGCACTATAAAATTAATTTAACTAATCTTAGTTTTGATGACTTTGATTATGCCGAGTGAACGCTTGGGAGGCTTGTCAATAAAAATGTAAAATAAATTAAATTAAGAAAAGAGATAATTATGCTGATGGTAACCACGTGAAATATTATTAATGCTGTTAACGAAAAAAAGACGGACAGACAAATGCGAGAAGCCACAATAGTTCACGTTATTAAAAGAGACGTAAAAGAACATAAAACTATTATGAATATGTAAATTTATTCTTTCATATTTTTAAGTTCAGCTTTAGCTATATGTTCGTGCATAAGTGTCTGGTAAATTTACATACAAAAAGACAAAATGATAGAGAAACGTAGGCTTTGCTTACAGAGTTCAACATATCCGTTTAGCGACTAGCGTGGTACGCACAAACGCCTAACCTTGAAATATTGTAGTTCCTCACAGGTTATAATTCCACTCATAACAATGTCGCTGACAATGTGTGAATAATTATTTTTCCTCATTAGATGAAATAAAAAAAAAAATTATACACATCTCAGTGTGAATATCGTAATATTCCATAATTAATTGTTTTTTTTTTTGTTCTATGGGATCCATAAAATACATTTAATAAACCTGCCATAAAAACGATATTAGAAAGACAGTAAAGGAGAAGATGCCATAAGACATCAACTACACAAAGAATTTCTTAGGGTTTTTTAATATTTGTTTTTGTTTTAATCACCACAAGATACAAGGAATTTATGTAAAGAGTGCTAGGATTAAACAATCTTACTTCATGTTGGTCTTACTTCTCTTCTACTTGATTCAGATGTAAGCATATATTGAATGAAAACGGAACAGTTAACAAAAGCGTCCCAAATGCCCAGCTACTGATAGAAAAGAACAAGCCTGTGTGATCGGATACTCGCAGGAGATGCGATAGCAATACAAACACGTACAAGATCAATTTCTCGTAACAAAATCAAACGTATATCCCCGAGAGAAGAAGAATGGCTTTCCGGCTATTCTTCTCTCTTCTTTGATATAGTAGGTTGGCGGAAAAAGTTTATCGTATATCTAACTTCCTACCGGTGCAAATTTTACAAGCAAGGCAAGCAAGTAAAAGGCGTGAGATACAAGAGGACTGCTTCTGAGGGGCTGCGTTAGTTCAAGTGCATTCAAGAAACTGCAGTTGAATATAAATTCCAGAAAGACAGCAACTCAGCGGTTGCTTATAAAAACTTATGTAACACGTCGTGAAGTGAAGTTGTAAATGTTCGGACCTGCTTATGATGGTCAACCATGTTTAGTTCCGGAGATTGCAGTCTCAAACCAGGCGATCGATCTGAACGATAATAATATTTTGCAATCCATGTTGGAGGGTTAGAGGCCCACATGTAGTCACTTTTTATTTGCAAAGCAACTCGGCATCCATCTTTCGACTGCTGACGAACATATCGAACGTTTGTAAAATCAACCGTTTTATTTAAAATACGAAAGAATTTTCCCGCCAACCTAATGCGGCGATTGAGGCAACACCAGATGTTATGCGGATGGCATGATGTCAGCTATTCATTTCGAATTTGTATTTTATTAAGCATACATATAATCGCTGAACAATTATTTTTTCGTACGAAAAGAAACGTGATAGAACAATCATTTTCGGAAAAATTACTTAACATTTTTTTTAAGTATTACATATAAAAAAAAAAAAATTCTTTTTGAAAAATATTCAAATATGGCAGCACTTGCTTTCTTCCGTGAAACATATTGAATTTGAGGCGCTCTGGCCCGAACAGTGTACCTGTTCAGAATTTGCTCCTAAAAAAGAAGAAAGAAACCTTTAATCTACATGCCCATAGATCGAGAAGCGTATAGGGATATTTAAAGAGATCAATTTTTGTGTGATAGTATGAAAGAGTTTCGCCAAAAAAAAAATTTAAGATTTTGTTTACGCTCCGACTGCTTTTCTTACTTAAGAGTGCCGCAACTCCCAGGCATTTTTCGAGCTTTCGAGCATCTGAAAAATGAGCTTCTGCGTTATTATTAATTCACTTATTTAATTACTTCAGTTCAAAGTCTTCATAGAAATCTTGAGTCATAACTGTTGCCAGATATTTAGAATTAAATAATGCTCCTCACATACTATTGAAATCATTATATGTGTATTTACAGTGACTAATTAGAGTTGCTTTCCATGCTATCCTATTTGAAAACATCATTTTTACAGCTTTCGCCGTATGTTGTTGTGGCCGGTATTATGCAAAATAAGTTGAAATGTCGTATATGGATTATGGATTTATTTATTTTTACACCCCATGCCACTTATTTGTGCGAATGTAGACGAAGGACTTGAAATGACGCACCTCTTGTTGTATCGATCGATTCAGAATCACTTTCTGAATCGCTCTCTGAATCGATCCAAGCTTGTCTGCCTTTTTATTTTAGTTTATTATTTAGTATATTGATATGTCTTGAGCCAACGATGAATGCTATTGAAAATGATTTCTCATCTCAGTTTGAAAAGTCGTCATATGAATGGCTGTATTAAACAAATCAGTGCAGAGTACTTGATGATGGGCTTTGTGCCACTGCTTATTTGTTTTACTTGCTTATATCAAAAAACCATAAATATTTGATTAAAATTTATTTTATTTATTTATTTTTAAAGAAAAATTATTGTTACGAGATTCAATTACAATTCTGCTTCAAACGACGAAGCAAATGGAGGGAGAAAAAGGTTCAAAGTTGAAAAGAGAAGAAGAGGAATACGAAGAAGAAAAAATGTTTTTGATTTACCACATCTTCTGTTTTCAAGGATTGTTTAATTAAGTTTCACAAGAAACTAAGACCTACGTCTCACAATAAAATCGGCTACGATCTTAAATTTTTTGGAGCGCATGAGCGCTGCATTTACCGCATTCTTCCGTAAGCAATATACTACAATAATTGAAATTGCTTGATACGATAGAGTTGGAATTCTGACGACCGGTGACGGAACGACTGGCCTTCGGACAAGCTCCAAGCAATTTTCCTGCTCTTACTGAGCCGGTGTAAATAGAACCCGTTCATATTTTTAGTTTCCAAGAACCCAAGTCCAAAATGCACTTTAATCGAAAAGAATTCTGCAGTGACAGGACTATACCGAGCTACAATTGCCATCGATTTTTTTCAACAAAGAAAAATTTGCCGGGACTCGGATAATACCTTTTTCAAGTTGTTTCTTTTTCTTGAGATGACGATCGGTCTTACCTAATACCGCTGTTGAAAATTTTTTCCGTCCGTCCGAAACACCTCGTATATGGCGGCCATACTAGATGCAGGCGATGTAAATTCTATCAAAGTCCGGGTCTTTTACATATACACTTTATTTAGACTCCTCAACTTTTTATCTTCTTCGTTAGTGGTATTCTTTGATTGCACATATAGTGAACGCTCATAACACTTATCGATTGGGCACATAACAGCTAGACTAAGGCCAACGCCGACCTATTTCTTTCTCTTTGCTGTGTTCTTTCTGACAGTCACTGTATTACACGACTAAAAGACATTGGCTGAGTAATTGGGCATATTAAAAAAAAAAAAAAAAAAAGATATCTATGGAGGCCAATAGCTATGGAGCTATGTCTTATGTGCAAAGCTTTGTCTGGAAAAAGAAATTGGATTAGAAACTTTTCTCATTTATGTATAAAGTATCTTAAATGAATACTTAAGAGTCAACCGATTTGTCTATTTACCAAAAAAATACGTGCGGATTTATTGCTATAGATTTAACAATAATTTTGAATATAAAAATATTTACATATGTAAAATGTAATTGGTTTATACATATATATACATAAAAAGGCCACTACAATATTTTGATATGTGTGGTCAGGCATGGAGAAATTAAGCCACCAATTTGAAAATAGGATGATAGCCGGTTTCATCGGCATTGAAAGAAAATTCATATCTTTTGCCATCGGGTGCAATCCACGAAGTAGTACCCTGTACCACAATAGCGGCTCCCTCTTCAGTGGTCTTTAGTTCACCCTCTTCGGAGCGTGAGATACCGTTACTAGTATCATAGCTGTGAAATGATCATAAATTATGTTAATGAATATTGCGCAGGACAATGAGTTTTGTTCACTTACGCGAACGAGTATTTATCAACGCCATTATTTTCCGTTTCTAAACGCAAAGTTTCGGCGTGAACGTCTTCGCTTACAGGTGCATTGGCCACATCTTGTACTTCCTCCTCGGAAACAGTGCGGGCCCAGCTGCATACAGCGAAGCAGACGATCAAAACAATTTGTACCTTCATATTATTGATTGAGTTTTGAACAAATCGAATAATCGAACTTAATAATCCTTGGGTATGGAATTTTTATATATTTGTTGTAGCGTGGACAGTCAGATGATGTTAAGAAAAGACTGATGTTCGAAATATTTCGTTCACGTATTTATAGTTACTTTAAAGTACACGGAATGCTGCATCATAGTTGTGCTGTCTTTGGTGAATACATATATTTATTTATTTATTTATTTATTTGTTTTTTTTTTTTTTTTTTTTTTTTTTTTTTATTTTTTGTAAATTTTTTAAATTTAATAATTTTAAAATTCTACTAAAATGTATAAATTTTATTTTTTAAAAATGCGCAAAATAATAAAAAAAAAAAAAAAAAAAAAAAAAATACAGTGTGATCATCATCATTAAAAATCTCACGCCAACAACGCGATATAACTCCTTAAAGCCAGATTAATGAAATCTACTAAGCGAGAATAAGGCGAACGTTGAATGCGCATCGCCTTTAAATACGTATCAACGTGTTCTCAAGCTGCTTTCGAGTTATTGCGCGTTTTGTACATGGAAAGTGAAACATGAATAACGTGACGTATGAGTTACATATTGAATTACAGAATTTAACTGAACTTAAAAATTTTGTGATAATAAAATTATATACGTACAAATGAATGAAGAAACATACGAATACAAACGAACACGCGAAATCCATTCAAAATCCATAATTCAACTAATGGGGAATTTTGGTATTTAGTATCTCGTAGAGAGGAGAGATACAAATGGAACGATAAATGAATTATACTTTGTTCTTGCATTAATTTTGATCATAAAAATAAGTTATATATTATATTCCATAAAAGTGTCAGCGTCAGATATATATATATATATGTTATTTGCATGGGAAAGGCAAGAGGTTACGGGGAGCATTCAATAAGAATAATGATTAAATGTATTTCAGTTTCCTCTATTAATTGATCTCTTAGATATTAATAATTATGCTTTTAATTATTATCAATTAATTGTGATGTCAATTAGAATAACTGAACATCATTAATTCTTTTTCCTTTTTTTCTCCTCTTCCCCTTTAGCATTCGCCTGAAGCATAAGATTTATGAGAGAGATCTCTTAAACTCTTCATTTTTTTTTTTTTTTTTTTTTTTTTTTTTTTTTTTGATAATGAAACTGCAAGTGATGTTATTTATATTTGTACATGCCATTAATATTATGAGTAAGGTTGTGTATATACGCAAGTGGACGGCAGTGTGTGCGTGCATGATCTCTGCAATAAAAGCACAAGAGTAACAATAACATTGTATTGTATTGTATTATATTTAACGCATACATTCTTTTGTTGTAGTTGGTGTTGTCTTGCCTGGCGACTACGCATATACGCATGAAATTATCTCGAAAAGAAACCTGAAAACTTCATCTTCAGAATTATGTCATAAGGGAATTTTTAAACGAATTACCTATAAAATCAAGGATTCATTCGATAACATTAATTGTTGCATTTAAATATTATGCCCGATTTTCAAGTCAATGGTAAAGTTCATTGCATTGGCAATACATTTTTGATAATTAATTTTGATATTGATTAAGAAATTGAATAAATAAACTGTTTACGAGCCCGAATGCAGACATCAGCCTGTCTGTTGTAATAACAATAAAAATAAGAGATAGTCCTTGAAAGTGAATGAGGAAATAAATTTGCTTTGGATATAATAAACTTGAGATATGGTCTTCATTCCACTAAATACGCGTACATGAGTTTTTTTGGAATGTTTGCTGCATCACTGTATCAAGCAATCGTTTGAATATAAGAAAAAGTTGTATAGCAACGCATACACAACACCCAATATCACGTAAAGTTAAGCATTAATTACACCTGGAGATTATGTATCCAAAATACATAAGAAGAGAACAATAGACATGTGGTTTAATCTCTGTAACATTCTAAGTTGATTTAATGCTTCCTGCCGTATCGCCCATAGCTATGCCTCTCGCCTGTGGCTATTTCAGACAGACGCGAAAACTAGCAACGAATACTATTATGATATTTCCAACCAAAATAAATACAATGAAAAATTTAGGTTAACTTACCTAGGGTAGTGCATACGCCTTATGCTGTAGGCAATTCTCTTACCTGCATTATGCCGAAATCGTATCTATTTGAGTAAGTATTTGGATAAGAGGCCAGGCCAGGCCCGAGGATAAGTCTACGTTTTTCAAGTGACGCTAAGAATAATGAAAGCAATCTATTTTCCTAAGAAGGTAATAACATAAGGCGACCTCAACCTAAATTCCTAATGGCAAAAAGCAGAAATTTCTTTTGAACAGATCTATTGTCTATCATCATAGCGCCCATACAAAGGGGGTCAAACAGCAGATGCATGTTCCAGTACATGTAACCTTTTTGTAACGGAAGAATCGTCAAGCAGTCTAAACCAACGTTTAATAAAACCAAGCACAGACCTAGTTTTATTTAAAGAGAGAGAAAATGTGCAAATTAAAGCGAAGGTCGAATGCTCGAATAAAATCCTAAAGTTCATGAACGAATCTACATTTTCCAATTTTTGTGAATCATTGAAATAATCAGTGTTAATGGCGTCCTCCTTGAGATTGAGAGTTTCTTATATTTTTAAAATTTTTCTTCATTAAATTTATTGAGCATCACGCAACCAATTTATCTAAAACAGATTGAATTAAATACGAGTGCGATTCCGAGATGAAAGAAGAAAACAATTTGATGTAATCAGCAGGGTACGTTAAGACATGGCTGCAGTTAATCGCCGCAGGGCGACCATTGATGTATAGGTTAAACAGAAAGAATCCTAAGTGCCTACTCTGCGAAACACCTCAAGCTAACTAATATCGATAAAACAGGAGTGCTATCATTGATATTGGGGTAATTTATCTCTGTTTGTTCATTCTTTGTCCTATCCTTCTATACCTTTCAATTCATTTCTAATGCACGAATGTATTGGTATTAGGAATTACTAAGCGAATGTCAACATTTTGCTGACTGTCTAACATTTATTTATTGGTTAAGCATTAAAATTTGTTGAAAAAAGGCAACATTCACATGCCCTTAGAGAAGTTTGCAAGTAACAAAACGCTATTCCAGTTTTATAAATATGCATGCGTTTGACGTATTCGGGCACCACCGAGTTTTTTTACTAATTTTTTCGAATCGTTTCTTCAAGCGTGCTCCTTAGGTAATACGTTAGCGCGCAAATTAGACAAAGTAGATCAAAAGGAGTGCAACGTCGCCACTGTGCAATAGGGGAACATAGTCTCGTTTATGGTTTTTGATTAAATTATATTTGTTTTTGATCGTACCAAGCGTATAAATAATTCATCACAGGCTTTTTAAAAAATGAAGCTTGTAGTTGCTTCATGTAGAAGTACTAACGTTAAGCTTCGCCTAATGCCAACAATTTCCAGGATGGACCAATGAAGGACCTCCCGAAAGGTCTTAAGGTCTTGCATTGTTTTGAGGTCTTGTTACTTATAAACAAGGGAATACATCGGAGGAAGCGTGTCTTTTTTTTTTGAGAGAGAACAAATTTTCGGGTTTTCTAAAAACTTATCTTGCATAGAGTTTACATAAAGGGCTATCTCCATCCAGTAAGCTTTTATGGCACTAAAAAAGTCGAAGGCCTTTGCAGGATTGAATGGCTTTGCGGAATATGTGGATACTCGAAATGCGAACGTGCGTTTAGGTTATGTGTAATTTTATCCAAAGTCACATAGTCGGAATTCCTGGGAAGGCAACAGACCGCCGAAGGAATATTGATCCAAGTGCATGCTGTGGCGCTATCCTACGGAATGATTGCGGAGAGGATATGTCTTTTCTCAAAGCTAGAAAGATCGGGAAATACCAACCCACTTTCTCTGTTTGTATGTCCCAAGTGCAATGGAACTCGCTAAGGAGTGGATATTGTCCTGCCAGGAATTTCTGCTACCGCTATCGAATTGACCATCCCTATGTAGGTAATAAGCACGTAAAGCACATAGAGACATCTGACTATCTGAGCTGTGCTTTCATTCGTTTAACAATAACCAAAGCATGGATGATTGTACACGAAGCCTCTTAAGACCACATGTTCTGTTAGCATGAGAGAAGATGGATGGTAAATAGCTTAACTTGCATCGGAGAACATCTTTGCCGTCTTTTGCTGACCATTGAAAAAGAAAAGGCTTAACTATCGTATCGTTTTATATAATTGTACGGAACTCTTCCTAAAAACTCTTGTATAACATATTATACGAATATCTGCGTACTCAAGCATACGATGTTACAAGTTTAATTGAAAAATCTTCAATCAGGGCGTGAACATTGAAAAGTACAAGCAAAACGCAAAAGTATAAGCGAAGCCCTTTATTTAATTTTAATTTAATTTAATGTATTCAAATTCTATATAAAAACAAGGCGATTTATTCATTCATTTTTTAACAAATATATATACATATATACATACAAATATATATACATATATATGTGTGTATATGAAATTTTATATGCAATTTTATATAGATTACATAAAATTTTTGCGAATACGTTCAGAAAATGAAAGTTTATTAGCAAATCTTGTTCTATAGGAATTCGGCTACGAATTTCATTCGAAGTAGGTTGACTGAGTTAATAGCAAGCAGACTAGATTTTTGTTTATCAAAAGCACAAATCAATAAAGATGCACTTTATTTTTCTGGGGGAACTGGTAAATGTTCGCCTTCGGGCTGGAAACCGTTCTCATCGGCCAAATAATTTAAAGTGTATTGAATGCCATCGGGCCCAACCCAACTGACACTGCCTTGCACAGAAATAGCCTCATCTGGCGTACCGGCATTTTTCAGTATAGCCGTTTCTTTCCGCGACACTCCATCGCTGGTCTCAAAGCTGCAATAGTTACAATTATTAATTAATTTATGCCAGTGTCTCTCCATCTCTTTCTCTCTCTTTCGATATAGCTCTTACGCAAAATTATAACCCACCGCTCCGTTATTGGCATTATTGTCATATTTTAATATATGAGCATTCGATTGCTGTTGCGGCAACGTGGACGTAATCTCGCTCTCCAGTACAGGTCTCGTTAATACTTGTGCGCATTGATTGTTAACCAACAGATATATTAGAATTACTGTAAAACCCCAAGTCCAGTGCTTTATCATTATAATCAAATTATGTTTGCCTTTTTCCTCGATTTAATCTCTTGGAAATTTTTTTGTTTTTATTTTTTTTTTTCTGTTTTTTTTTTTTTTTTTTTTTCAATGTGTGTTTTATTGGTAAGTGTCGGATGGATGTTGTATGTATATAAATATACTTAGAGTAGGGCGGGGTTAATTAAACGTTTTTTCGTTACTGTTTTGTCAACAATACTGTGCTCATCCGCACAGCCGCACAAATCTTTATATACAAATACAAAAAATACAAGGCTACATAACGCAGCATTGAAAAATAGCACATATCTACTGATATCGCGTTCACATAAGACCGGCACTGCTACTGGCCAACATCAACAAACATTGTCAAGATTTCTATAAAAAAATAAAGGAACAACAAAGCCAAAAAAAGAGTCAAAAACTTCACACAAAAATGAAATAAAAAAGAAAAAAAGTATAAAAATAATAAATTTTTATGGTTATCTTCGACAGTAATGCCAAAAGCTTTAACTGTAGCTGTTTTACTTTGAAACGCAAGACAAACATCTCAGGCGATGTTTTAAGCAAACAAGAAACTAAAAAAAAATAAAAAAAAAAAAAGTAAAAACATCTAGAAACATGTATTAACGTGCGGGCATTACTGACGGCTTCTTCTTCTGCACACAGGTTAAGCAATCAGAAAAGAATGAATAAAAAAATTTATTTGAAAACAGGAACAAGTTTTTCAAATTCGAGCAAATACCAGATCTTGATCACATCTAAAAATCGTAAAAAAAAAAAAAAATAAATAAATAAATAAAACCATGCAGTTACGAGGGCTGTATAATGCTTAGGAGCAATAGGAAACTGTTACTTAATTACACTCACGGCTAATATAAAAGTCTATCTTTAAAGTAATCCCCCAAGTCAGAGGAAGCGCAAAGTCAAGCTCTCTTAGGGCATAGGCAGCCATTCAAATGAACTTTCCCAAGATCTTTAAGAATCGTTTCTATATTCTAGCATATGATTACGAAGAGGCTTCGGTTCAATGGAATCAAGCAAGAGATCAATTACTTTGACATTTGACAGTCTGCTTTTATATACATACACTTTTCTATATAAGATATCCTCAGTGAAATGATGTGAAAACAAGCGAGGTTATCAGCAGTACACAAACTTTGATTATAGGTTACTTGTCGCCATCGCGTTTAAAATGCTCACCAGGAATGTTGAAAGGGAAGGATGCGATTCGAAAGCCAATTCGTGAAAGAGATCTGTTCAAAGTCAAAACAGTAGACTCTATCCGGCTAGAGTAGCCTCCAGGAAGACGAAAAATATGGCCGCTTTCATCCCCAGGGTCAAACTTTTTCCCTTCCGAGGGGCGGCAAACACTTTATTAAGCTTCTCATTCGACATAGTCATAACTGAAAAGCTGGCCGAGTTGCCAGCTTCTGTTTCCATTAATGTTTCAATTAATATTTTATACAGTAATTCAAAAATTGAAAGCAATTTATTTAAAAAAAAAAAAAAAGAAAAAAAAACTAAAAAGCACTAAATATGATTTGTATAAAGGCGGACTTTGTACGAAAATGAAAAAGAAGAGAAATCTTTTAAAGCAAAGTCCATATGTTTCAGCACAAAAACTTATGGATCAACCCTCGTCAGGCAGACTGCTTCAACATTAAAATGTCGTATTAATGAAGGACAGTATTTGTCGTAAATTGTCGCAGAATTTTCCGATAGAACTAATTATTTAATAAAATGTTAATCAATCAAACAATAAAAATTTTTTATAAATAATTTACAATATATTAGTAGAGAGCGTATAAAAACATTAATCCTCTTAAGACTTACGTAGTTAATACAAGTTGTTTTTTTTCAAGTTGTTTAAATTTTGTGCTCATCTTGTTTGAGATCATTCACTGATCACGTGGGCTTCTTTTTTTTTTTTTTTTTGAAAATTCTTAAATACTTGTTTTGAAAATTTGTATGTTTTGCCTTTTATATTGAAGGGTATTACTTTGCTTGTATCTATATGTACAATAAATTTTATTAACATATTAAACAAGCTCGTTTTAAAAAATAGAGAAAAAAAGAAAAAACAAAATTGTTGTCAGTTGAAATCGAATGATTCGATTCCCAACATTTCCTTGCGTAAAGGAAATGTATTGAATCTAAAATGTGTACACTACGCTACATAGGCGAATCTACCTTTTTTATATAGATTCATCTTACGTCTTAGAGACGCATATACTCATACATGACTGTCTGTGTGATTATTACAAGACAATCTGCAAACATTCTACCCGAAAATATGCACTTGGCTTTCGATGGCTTCGATTCGACGCAACCTCCACTTGGCGAACAAAGTAAAGCATCCTAGGCTTTGCAGATAAGCTTTTCTGGATCCCTTTATGGTCTAAATTTGTACTTTTTTAAAACCGCATTTTTCGAAAGTGCGTGCAACATAAATTCGACCAGTATGAATAAAATGCGGGAAACAGATTCGACAAGTCAGTTCAAGCATTACTACTTATTAACAAGGCGTTGCCCTTTTTTTGATCGAAAGTTGAGCTTCTTAATTCAAATGCTTGCCAATAACACAATATCCAAATTTTCAAAACGCTACCACCCATTTATTTCACTAAACATAAGCCGGCAGAGTAAGCGATTTTTCTTCTTTTTTTTTCCAGATAATTACACTGGGTGCCGCAGAGCCCCGTTCATAATGGATGCGCTGCTCTTCTATAGTCTCTTTTCTCAGCATTAACAAAAAAAAAAAAAAAAAAAAATCCCAGACTTATTTCAATATTTGCTTAGAACACGATTTCAAACTTTTATTTTGAATTTCATTTAGAAAATCAGCTAATTCAGCAGCTAGTCGTTGCCTGCCTATTGGGTGCTACTGTCTATGTATCAGAATGTTTTAGAAATTTCCTAAAAATATAATTTCCTATATATCGGATATTAAGGTGTTTTGGAGCATGCCGGCTTCACGCTCGGTCGCGCAATCGGGCATCACACGTACATACACTTAGATGATAAGTATCGATTGTATAAGATAAGGCCATGAAAGCGTGCTGTACAATAACATTTGACGTTTAAAACGAAAACAGATCAAAAGAATAAAAAGAATTTCCAAATGCGAGACTGGTGAAGAAATTATACTTCAGCACGCAGTGATTTAGTTTTTATAATTTTCAAGGAAATAAAACAGAATAGATAAGGAAAGTAGGATTCATCAAGACCGTTCATTATCTATCGCTTGTTACTTTAACTTTTCTCATTGCATATTATTATGCATTACTGGACTCAACATTTAAGTGACATATGAATTAAGTAAACGGTATGGTTTTCTTTTAAATACTGTGCACAGGACACCGGACAAGATTTTTAAAATTGCATACATTTCGTAAGGCTTTCAAATGAATTTAGTTGAGTGTTGCAAAAGATATGATAAATGTATACCGTATACCGTCCAATGATAAATATAATAAACAAAAAAACAAAATATATATATATATATATATATATATATATATATGAAGATATTTCATTAATACATTTCTGAACTGGTCTGACCGCAAAATCATAAACAACAACATCGCATCTTGTTTTAGTTGCCGTTTAATATGCTAGTCTGCTTAAGTGAAAAGGTGAGGAGTTAATTAGCTTAAGAAAGGAGCAGTTTTACCAAATAATCAAAGCAAAAAAAAAAAAAAAACAAATTTGATCAAATGAAATTTTTTACATATTTGATATACGAACGCTTAGTCGTTCATCATTTTGGACATAAAACAATCTTTTTATCTTTCCTATGAATATTAAATTTTTTTTTCTTGCTTTCACGGTAAAAATGTATTGGGATTTCCTCTTCAAGAACTATACATATATAAATAACGATGAACGATGAACGATGAACGATGAAATGACCCTGAAACAGATACCAATTATTACGCATACATAGACAAGAAGTGTATAAAAATTTACGAAAATAATATGATCATCCATTAATGAATGACTAAAAATAGACACGACAGTATGCACATAAAGATGTTGTACATATTCACAAGCTGTATAATAATAATAACGTAATCGTCTGCAGCATAATCACCTAAAAAGTTATTAACGGCAATCTTTACGCGTTACGAATATTATAGCATATACGTACGTATGAGTGAAACAGAAACCCTTTGCGTTACCGATTATATAACCTGTTCATATGTATATATATATATATATATATATATATATGAATGAGTATATATAAGTACATGTTTTATATACGCTGTAAGTGTTACTTTTGGGCTTTTATTTTAGATATTTGTTTTGTTTTGTTTTTTTTTTTTTTTTTTCTTTTTTATTATTATTATTTATTTATTTTACACTATGTATGGACCGGTACAGGTTTTGTTTGCTTCTTTTCGCAACGTAATACTTCTTTAAAAAAACTTAAAGGCCTATGGTCTGGGACGATGTATAAATTGAGAGTATGGAAGCGTTGTAAGTAACATTAATTGTTGAATACTTGATCGGTTAACAATCACTTGAAGAAATTTACACATCCAAAATAAAAATGAAATACGCGGCTGTTTTTTTGTTTATTTCACTATTCGGTTACGCGCTTACCGCTCCAGTACAGAATGCAGCACAAGAAGCGCAGGTTTTACGCTTCGATTCAGATGTGCAACCCGAAGGATATAGATTTTTGTAAGTTAACAAAAAGATAACAAAAGCACGCAACAACAACAACAATAATAATAATAATAATAATAATAATAATAATAATAACAACAACAACAACAACCACTATCCATAACACGTAATACATATTACAATCCAGACTGGGACTGGGTGTGCAATTAATTTAAAATGTATGTCATATGATCAAGGTTGTTGTAATTCGTTGCAATAAAAAAAAAAAGAGGAAAAAGACAAACAAAAAAAATGCAAAAAGTCGGGTTTCTTTTGCATTCGCCATCAGGGCAAAATGAGGATATACTAAATTTATTATTGCATTTGTGGACTACCTTAGCAGTATGTAGAAAAAAACTCAACAGTATAGACAAACCTAAGTGTACACTGATTGAGTGTGACATTCAGAAACATCGTAAAAGTATTTAACAAAAATTTAATTTAAAAAAAAACAAAAAAAAAGAACAGAAAATCACAATTTCCTATATCTTGTTCTTATAATTATTTCCCTTATATATGGACGACATTAAGAAGCCAATAGAGCAAATCGCCTCTTAACGCTTAAACGATGAGTCACCACTGTGTTTAAATAATTATCAATTTTTTTGTAACCTTTCCAGAGTGGAAACCAGTGATGGGAAATTGCATCAAGAAGAAGGTCAGTTAAAAGATGTCGGAACAGATCATGAAGCTATCGTTGTACGCGGCTCTTATTCGTATATCGGCGACGACGGTCAAACCTATACAGTTAATTACTTAGCCGATGAAAACGGATTCCAACCAGAAGGCGCTCACTTACCGCGTATCTAAATGATGCTATTAGGTGTTGGCATTTGAGTTATCTAGATTTTTAAATAATTTTTATGTGTGATTATTTGTTTGATTTGTTTTTACTATAGTTCATCTTGAACGTTAAAATTGATGTTTTTATTTTTTAAATAAAAAATTTCCTATGAAAGAAACATAAAAATTACAAAAAAAAAAAAATAAAGTATTTTTGCTTCATGCCGTGAATCTCGCTAAGTAATGCTAAAAGAAAATTAATTAATCAAGTGAACAGTCGCAGTAAAAGTCTACCTCGTATTAATTATTAAAGTTCATATAACGTCATTGCTAATGGATTCCATTTCGTTTATACGAGCTTTCAACTCAGCCATTGAAACACTTATTGTAAGTACTTTGTGTAGGATGTAATACCAATCAATTGAAATCGTCTTCCGCGGAATGATAAACTATTGTTTAGGAAATCCACAACAACAAAATCGGAGATGTTACAGTTTCCATGACCACAAAATACAAAAATCTAAAGCGTAATTTTTCAAAATAAGACGTGAGGGACTGGACAACTAAGTAGACCGATCGGAACCGTTTTCAATAACGGTGGTCCTTGGATCGAACACGTGAGTGTAGCAAATCTAGTTAAAATATCTCAAAAACTGCGACGTATACGCCGAATACAAAGATACATAGGTAGACATTAGCCGGGTCAGACGGACAAATAAGCTTAGATCATAGTCGTTTTCTGAATCGATCGGTGTAACAAGAGGTGGGTCTATCTTAAGCCCTTTTAGGTGTTATGTATGTCCATATAAACCTTATATCACAGGTGATGTTTTGGTAAATTGGTTTTAAGTCCGTTCAACGCAAAAAATGATCATTCATGGCAATAGCCATTAACAACGAACTATATATAGAATTTTATGCACTTCCTTCTCTGAACTTTTTGTCATATTTAAAATATTTCATTTTTGCGATCCAATAATAATCAACTATCCCACTGCAGTAATAGACGGCAACTTAGATTACCACAGTAGGCCGTGGCTTACCATTACATCCACCTTTAAATATCCTACAACACCCGTCATATGACGACTTGTTGGCATGACCCGAAAAATTGGTCCGATCAGAATCATTTTCACTAGCGTTTGTCCTTGGACCGTACCACGTCAGTGGACGCGTATACATGAAGAGATATCAGACGGACAGACAAACTAGGATTCAGAAAATGATGCTGAATCGATCGGTATAGCAACAGGCTATTACGTATGTCCGCATAAACTTAATATACTCTGTATCACAAGTGGTGTTGGATATAACAACGACGCGGTTTTCTTATTTAGTTCTCTAGCTTTTGTTAACCATTAAAAATATTTAAAAGTAATCATTATATTAGATCTCTGAGGATATTTGTTACCGTCTTTACTGTAACTCCAAGTTGAGTGTCAATAACTTTTCAGAATAAAACGAAAAAAACAAACAAATACCAGAGTTAATCTGCACTGACTACTAATAATAAACAAATTGCGCATAAACAAAATAAATGATGTCGCTCCGCATTACTTCACTTAATATAATTTTTCATACGTTTTCATTAAAAACTATATTTTGTTTCCATATAAAAGCATGCTTTCCATGCCAGCTCTTATATGTAAAAGACCCGAGACGTGAATTAATATAATCCAAATTTAGAAAACATTCTTTTTCTTGTCAAAGATCTTCTTGTAGTTCACCTTCTCGTCATAAGATACTGCAAATTGCGGTTTCTTGACACATGAAGGATACCCGTTTATGAGAACCCTTACGTGTTTTAGGGTTAAAAAGGTAGAACTAATTGGTTCGGCATTGTTTATATTTATGTCAGATTCAAATTTTGAACCAATTTTCGCCATGAAATATTCCAAATTACTTATCGTAATTTATGTGGACGGGTATTCAAAAAATTATACCATCCGATCCAGGCTTTCACATCCATTAAATATGTCAGTGACTTCTTTGAAAAAAATTTTGAAAATTACAAATATTTTTCAAATTTATGATTTATATGGGTAGCGGTCGTAAAAATGGCTCGATCCGTTTCGTTCGCTTAAACCAACATTTCAAACACATAGACAAGTTAACTTCAGCTGAGAAAATGATTCTAAATTAAGAAATAATTCTAAGAAAAAGCATGGAATGTTCTTAAAGGCTGGCAAATTTTTAAAATGGTCTAAGTTGATCAAAGTACTACACGTTTGCAGTCTAGTATAACATCTCTGTTTTCGAAAACAAACAGTTTGGGACTTTCGCTCATTGTTTATAAACTACAGGAGACATGATGATGCTAATTAGCACATGTGTTGTATAGATGATTCTACAGCATCTGTATGAAAATGAAAAACCTATATCATGAAGGCTATCGAAATTTCGTTTTTTCGAGTTTTCTTTAACAATAAAAATGGTGGATATAGTCGTTTCGACCAAAGCCAAATATTATTTTCAAAACTATTTTCTGTGATTTTTCAAGACTTTGAAATATTTGTTCTCTAATTTAAAGATTAAAACTAACTCTGGTTGATCTTAACCAGTTTCAATGCGAATCTGCGTGCAGTAAAAAGGAGCATCTATACTTGTGCACTACATCAGAACATAGAATTTTTTTTTTTTTTTTAGTTAATTTTTTTATTTTCCTTTGCTTTTGGTGAAAAGAGATGATTCAAATTATCGATACATTAAACATAGACTTAAGCATGAGGCAAATGTGCTCCCTTTGGTTGGTAACCGTTTTCATCGGCAACATATTCGACTAGATATTTGTGTCCCTCTTTGTCGACAAAGGAGAAACTGCCATGCACAACGAGGGCGTCGTGTTCTTTGTCAAGATTCTTCAATTGTCCTTCGGCGTCGTGTTGAGTACCATCGGAGGTTTCGAAACCGAATTTGTAACCATCGGGACGAACATCAGATTCGTAACGGAGAATCTCGGCATGATCGTAATGATCATGATGATCGTGATGCTCGTAATGTTGGGGAGCAGCCAAAGCAGCAGCGAAAATAGCAGCGAAGACAATGATGAATTTCATTTTTCTTATTTTTGATTTTTTCAAGTTGGGCGTAAGTTAATTGTTTACTAATCCGAATGATAATGCAAACTGATGCTACTGTTGTATTTTGCTGCGGTTTTTATATTCATTACCTAATGTCTATGGCAAAAACAAAAAAACAAAAACTAATCATACAAATCAAACCGAAAATTATTCTATGCCAGATGCAAATTAGCAGCATTTTAACGAGTTATTTGAACTGGTCCAGATATAAGTTAACACAGGTACGAAATAGTTTCTCTTAGTGACAATATTTCAAAATTTTTCGATGCAAATTGCGTTTGACGGGAATTTATAGTAACAAACATTTGAATATGCGGAAGTAAGCTCTATTTAACAGTTCTCCTGAACTTTTATTATGAAGCAATATTTTAAAATATTTATACCAACAAACAAGCAAGTTATATTCGGCGCGGGCCGAATCTCGCATACCAACTGTGATGCTTTTCGCATTCTACTCCCCAAGTGCTTTCATTTGATATCCATATCACTGGTATTATTAAGAAAAAAATTAATCCGGCAGGTCACGGTGTCTATCGTATTCATGTTAGAATTAACCTATATTTAGCCAGATAATATATCTTCATTTAAGGAATGTACAAAATACTTTTAAACATTCTGCTTTGTTTACGCTATGATGAATAAGCATAAAACCTGGAAAAAAAGTGAAAAAAAAAACAATTCGATCGCTTGTAACTTTGCGTGGGCATGACCGATTTTTCTCAGGGTTGCACGCAAAGAATAGAATGTTTCGCAAAGTCAACCTGCTAACTTTTATAATTTCTGAGTAACGAGCAAAAACCCACAAAATTTTCGTTAAGAAAAACGGAGTTGCGTTCAGCTTATGTTCCACTGCGGGCTTCTACTCTCGCCAATTTGGCCCATTTGTAACACCAACCTACCAATGCTTCTACCAAATTGGAAGTCGATATCTTCCGTTTTGTGACCAGGAGAGTGTCAACAACACACACCACATAGACACACAGGCGGACATACATGGCTAAATGATAGGATCTCTGAAGTTTCCTTTTGGGTATTACATACGTTACGTGAAAAAACAAAATGAGTATACGCCTATCTTCAGTTACCTAGTGATTAAAAAAGAAACTATGTCCAATATCGCTAGACAACCTCAAAACAAAAAAGAAAACGCTTGGCTGCATCTATATCAGAACAGACTATTGAATTCATGTGGGTAAATTTAGCTGCTCATCTCTTGTCAAATGATTTCCCAATTCAAGTCCTAACTTTCAACTTATTTCTTTCTATATTCGCCATCTTAAGTACTTGTAACGTAGACAAACATGATTCGGACGCTCTAATAAGTTTCTATATGGTAGACAACTCGAGTATGGGTACACCCTCTTGGTTTGTGTCACTGCTCACTAAATCAACCCAATCAAGAGTTGAAACTTTGGTAGAAAACTTGACCTTGTCTTCAGTTCCCTTTATTCGCCTACCTAATTTTAAGAATCAACTGAATTGATATACAAGCTTTCTCTTTCCATTCCGCTCACTGTAATTCTACGCTGTTCACATAAATACTAGGTTGGGAAAAAAGAAAACCACTATTCTTGCATGAATTCCAGGACTTTATTTAACATATTTCGTATTAGCAATGTTGCCCAAATATTCAAAAGGTAGCTTCATAATGCCTCTCTCCTAGAAGTCTTGGTCAGAATTGACGAAAGACTCTAGTAATCAATTTCTCGTGATGCCGATTTCTTATCACTAAGGAACGTTTGCAATGCAAGAAAAATATGGTAATTGCTTGATACCAGGTCCCAGCCAAGCTCCCGGAATTTATGGCAACTCACTATACACATAGCCTGGCGATATTCTAATGGAACATAATACCTCCCCTGTTAGCCAATTCTGCCCGTTCCCGGTCAATCGCTATCTTCAAGTAGGTCAGTTGTTGACAGTAAAGATCCGAATTTAGTGTGTGGCCATATGATCCCAAATATTTCCTTTCCAGCCCCGTGAAATGCGCAGCAGAACAATCCTGGCCGTTAGTCCTGCTTTGGCTTGTTTTCGCACAATATTGTCATACGTGATCCATTTCTTATCTCCAGTCCCGATTCGTTTAAGAAATGTTTCGATTTCATTCCGCTTGCGAAAGACTTCACAGATGGCGATTCGATCCATTAGGTTTTTCGTATTAATTGGTGTGGCAAACAAACATCGAGCTTCCTTTTTGAGTCCAAGTTTAAGCAAATAGTTTAAAACTGTTTTATGGTCGATCTTAAGCTAACGTGCTGGTCAGCTTCGATTATATCTGGAATAGTATCGACATTTTCGATAACGGGCCTACCTGCGCGAGGTGCATCTTGAACATCAAAAATACATGCACGGAATCCAAAAAACCAAAATTGCCCGTAATTGACTGTTACACTATCGTGCGCATAAACACCATTCACAATTTCAGCTGCGTGACCTGCTTTTTCGCCTTAACCAGAGAAAAACTCTAAGATGTACCGAATTTTCTCTTTGTTGACTTTCTGTAACTCACAACTAAACGGACCGAATAAAACAAAGCAAAAGAATTTTTTTAGTGCGAAATGTCTTCTCTTCAACGATCATATATCTGTAATTGTCGATCGTCTCCCGAAAAATGAACAGATGTCTATTTCCTCAACGTAATATATATTTAACTTTTTTCCTGCTATTAAATTGAGAACGTCAGCATTCCTCCATGGATAACTGTCAAGTCACTCGACTTAGTAAAATTAGGAGTAAAGAATTCTGTGGAAATTGAAAATAAAAATTTCATATCACCTATGGCAGCTTTTTGAAGCGTTGCAATTGAATTCACTCGTCGATCAAGTGGATACAGTCTCTACATGAATTTTCATAATCTATTTACTAAATGCACTTTCAAACAGTACTAAAGTGTTTGAGTGTGTAACACGCATACATTAAATCTCCCTTTTATCTTCAAAAATGTTTAGATATGTTCTTAAAGAATTGGAAAAGCTGATTAAGTACTAAATAAATGCTTTTAAAATATAAGAAAATTTTTATTTAAAAAATACGTGCGTTTTCTGTATTAATATTAACTTTTTTTTGTTATGTTTGACAATAGGTTTGGAACAATTGATTTGGTTCATAAAGTAATAAGATGAATTCCATGCACCTGATTATATTTTTACCGGGATTGCGTGGAGTGACTTTCTAGACATCCCCGCTTTGCTCTTATCAATTGTTTCATAAAAATTTTTACTTACATTCGACTAATATCGTCAAGCAATAGCATTTCAAAGGTAACAAATATTTTTACATCGTAAAAATCTATTGCTGTAAACCTTTTAATTGACTTCAATCATTCGATCTGCTTTGCAGCCAAACAAAAGAGCTCGTCTTACTTAACGTATCGTAACTTCATCTTAGTCTTATTCACTGGTACATTCACAGCTATATTGATTTTTGGGAAAGTTCAATGCGGATCAAAATTTAATAAATACATCACTCTCCTCTTCGACATAGCTTGCTTAAGCGAAATCTCTTTTTAAATACATAAGTCCTATTCAGCTGTGCGATGTCCGAGGCTCTATTTCAAAATGATATCTTGTATGTAATAGAGCATCTGTTCAGTGCTTTACATTGCTATGGACAGAATTAACATTATTAGTGAAGACCGTTCAAGCGCTTCCGAACTCACGTAACCACGTACGAACCATTCTTCGTCTTCAATTTCCATTACCGTATCTATTACCAATAATTTTAAAATTTTTATTGCGAAGAATTTAATGTCTGTGCGATTTCCAATATTTCCCTTTTAACCAATAATGTTGTTGTAGAGTTCGATTCTTCGATTGCTGATCGGAAACATCAAACATTTTTCTATGAAATCTGAGAGTTGAAGTGCGAGAGCAGTGCGTATATTGCTGCTCTATTGCCTTGCAATCATCATTCATTTCAATCAGCCTAGCACTATAAAGTGCAAAAATATATATATATATATATTCAAAAACGCAAGTTAAGTTTTTTTGTAAATATTTTCTATTCTTTAATTATTCTTAATTAAAATTTTAAGAAAAACAAAACCTATATAGCACAGTATCGTTATCAATTTTGGAGGCTTAAGCATGAGGTAAATGAGATCCCTCTGGTTGGTAGCCGTATTCATCGGCAACATAGTTAACTTGATATTTGTGGCCCTCTTTGTCGACGAAGGAGAAGCTGCCGTGCACGACGAGGGCAGCGTGTTCCTTATCATGTCCTTCCTTCAAATGTCCTTCGGCATCGTGTTGAGTACCATCGGAGGTTTCGAAACCGAATTTGTAACCATCAGGACGGACATCAGATTCGTAACGAAGAATCTCGGCATGATCGTAATCGTGATGATCGTGATGTTCGTAATGTTGAGGAGCAGCCAAAGCGGCAGCCAGGATGGTAGCGAAAACAATGATGAATTTCATTTTTATATTGCGGGTTGTTTAGTAGTTGGTTTGTTAAACTGCCGATAACTTAAACTGATGCCGTTATTCACTTGTGATGCGGTTTTTATACAATTTAGTGCGTTCTTCGAAACAAAAATAAGCAAAAAGCTGCCCAAACTACATACGCAAATTAGAGTTCACATCAAAAATCTGTCATCATAAGGCAAATTAGTAACATTTTGAAACTAATCCGATAAAAACACACACACACACACACAAATTTGATTCTTAATACAAAATTTAAATAAAAACGAAATTAAAAAAAAAAAGAAAACTACATTTATGAATGCAATGTCTTATGCAAAAATATACACAAACTTATGCGAATATATGTTATGAGAAGCCAATAACAACTACAAAAATTATTATAAAAATTTTTCACAAATTTCTTAAAATAATATTATAACAGACAGAGAGAGAGAGAGAAAGAGGGTTATATTTACTTTTAAATCTAAGTATATGTCTACATCTCACCGGAAGAAGGAAATCTGGGAAATTTCATTGACAACTAATGCATGTATAAAGACATGACTTAACTTTGTGTAGCCATTTCGCTAACACTTTAATATGTTTTTCCTTCAACACTTCCCCCACTAAATGCATACTTTTTTATGAACTCTGCATTTCGCCTTTCATAACATAACTCTAATTTTTCTTTACCCTTTTTTTGGTAATTTTTATTTTACCAATCTGAAATATTTCCATAGCCCTACTCGGTTCGTATCGCAAGATAATCCCCAATTTTAGGCTTAGGTTTTAAGAATGTATTACAAAAATTATATTCGCTCTGTAATATCTGCGTTTCATTGCTCATTCTACGTTCACTTTATTTGATTTTATTTCTGCGATTCTGTGATCATTGTATTTGGCTGTTGGCCCTAGAATTACGTCACTATTGTAATTTGTGTAATTGTAATCTGAATCTTTCAAATATAGAGGCTTTCTTGTGTGTGTGTGTGTGTGTGTGTGTGTGTGTGTGCGTGTGTTTTTTTTTTTTTTGTTTTGCTCTGTGAGCTGGAGGTAGAAAATCTTCGAAAGATACTGCTGGGTCTTAGTAGCAGCATGCACGATTCGTCATCCCTGGCGCATACGTACTAAAAACTACCCCCCACACACACTTCGTCTACCACTCTCCCCCGCGGGACCGCCGTTAGGTATTACTTCGCGGGGGCTGGTTGTCGCTAGCACGCTCCTGATGGTGGGACCTCAGTGGAATGCACTATCGGCTTCCACTCCCTCTGCTCTCCACCCGTTGTCTCTCCAATCGTCGCAACTCCACGAGCATATTGCTGGCGAATGCGTCTACTGCGTTCCAGGCTGCTGCACTGCCAACCATTGCGCTTGTTATCTCGTTAGGTGGCAATTGAGGCCGCCCATTCTCGAACCTGCTGCAGTAGGACATTACGTGTTCTGCGTCCTCCTCTATATCCTCGCATACCGGGCAGTTAGGCGAACTGTCGTGCCCGAATCTGTGAAGATATTTCCGGAAACAGCCATGGCCAGTCAGAAGCTGGGTTAAGTAATAGTTTACTTCTCCCTGCCGTCTGTCAACCCAACGTCTTATATTAGGGATAAGAACGAACGTCCATCTTCCTTTGGTCGTTCTTTCCCACCTCGACTGCCAAATCCTTAACGAGGCCATCCGCTCCTCGCTTCTTGTAACGTGTGAGGAGAGCTCGTTGCCGCGACGCCGTTTGTAGATGCGGCTCATCTCATCGGCCAGAATGTCGATTGGCAGAGTGCCAGCTAGCACAAGCGCTGCCTCTTCCGACACGGTACGGAATGCGCAAATCTGCCTCAGGGCGCTAAGGCGATATATTGCCGCCATCTTTCGGTACACTGCCTGTGCGTGTGTGTGTGTGTGTGTGTGTTTGTGAATTTCATTAACTACTTGCACCTCACTCATGTTTTGTCTATTTTTTTTTTTTTAATTCTTAAATGCAGCTTCGATACCTTTTGAAACAATTCAAAATCTTCACAAGTTAATCTCGACATTAGGTCCGAAAGGTCCCCGCACTTTTCTAAAAAAGACATACAATGAAAGCTTGTGGTTTATTTTTCTAGTATTCCATTTTCATACTATTCCAAAATGGAAATACGCATGTGAGCATTTCAACCTAAACTATCAGTCCGCACGTCCCAGCATCAACTTTTTATCCTATGCCGTCATTGATTCTTAAAATCTTCTTCTTAAGGTTAATTCATAATAATCTGAAATGTTATCGGATTTTAGAAAATCATGTTGATTCCACATTTCTTTTTATACTCCATTAGATGAATCTATCAATCCCGTGTACGGGCAATTAAATTACATTTATTCCCTTGAACACACAAGAGCGGTTCACAATCTCTTGCGGATGAAAAAATATAATGAACTACGCCAAACCAGATAGTATTTGACAGACTTCATTTGCGTTTGGTCAGACGTGGAGATATCTAAGCATTATGTGAGGCGTGATGTATTTATTAAAACGACGCAACCAGTACTGGATACTGTAGTGAGTTTTTCACTATTGGCGCAGTATTTATTACTTAACAGTCAAACTATGCCTTTCATAACTAGGGCTAGAATAATGCTCGTTGATCTTCAACGTTTCATGGCTTTTGGAAATAAGTTTTTATTAAAGAATTGGCATATATGTGAGTACCATTCCTCTTCGATGAAAAGATTCAAGCTTAAAATTAATTTTGCAATAGATTGTTAGGTTGTTCGGAAAATCATTACGTTTTTTTCCGAAGAGCAAAGGTTGGTGCATTTTTTTATAGCCAAATTCACATTTAAGACGCACTGTCTTCATTTATTCGATAGCTGATACCGTATACGATAATATGTAGATAGAGGGAACAGGAAAGCAAGAAAGGCATGATTTTAAAAAATACCAATGAAACTAAAAAGTAAAGTAATCTTTGTGGACAATCTTTCCGTCTTCACATCTTCGAAATGACTTTAAAGTGCTTGTAAAAGTACTCTTAACAATGTATGCAAACTATTTATCTATATTGTTTGTCATTAAATAATAATTTATAAAATTATATATTCCGTGAAATTGTACTCTATTTCTATGTTATAGCTAACAACCTAGCAAGTTTTGTAAACTTTAATCATTCATTTGCTATGCTTTCACTTAAAAAATCAATCGTATAGTTTGACGTTATCTGAAGCCTGTTACGGAAAATAGGACAAATATTGAATATGTACAAGAAGCCAATAAGCCAATAAAGCAAACTTTGGAAAATGTATTCGCTTATTATACGCAAAACTTACCAACCTCGCACCAAGAGCACAAATCGCTCGCAGACAAGATATATTTGATAGATTTCAAAGAATCGAGAAGATTTTCTTCCGCTTCAGCATTGGATCAGGCAAATTCATACCACTCATACATTGCGTTGAATTTATGCGAATATATAAAGATATAGCGCATAAATGATTTATTGACACATAAAACGAATATATTCAATTTGAATATTGACTATTGCTTCCTTGGCACTTGAAAGAATGGTTTTAAGAAATGATTTAGAACGACGAGAGAACCGCAGACGCAAATTGTATGTTTTCGAAATAATAACACATAGCCTACTGACCTGTCGTCAGAAATGTTGATGATGAGTTAATTAAAAATCTGACAATAATTGGAAACATTAAATTTAAAATAAATAACAAAAATTTTTCGAGATTTTTTAAAAGCGCATTAAAACATTCCGGATCTTCTCAAGACCAAACACAGCCGTAAGATCTATAAAAACGATTCCAATTCAAGAAAGTTGAGGTTTCTTACCTATAATCTCAGTCTCACAGGAGCGATAAATGTAGAACAAACCCAAAATAACGCTATTTTATTACTTTCAAATTCTATGATATAGTAAGCGACTTAGCAAACCAGCATCATTTTTAAAGATGCATTTTTGATCACTGAAAAGTTTTCATCCGGAATTATATAGAAATTGCGCCACAACAAATTGTGATCGTTTTTGCTTATAGTTTATGTATTTATTTGTTGTTATTGTAAATTTTCCATGAACTTTAATTGAATTGATAGCTCGACAAGAAACGATCAAAATTCTTACTGCGGTCGGTGTTCTGAAATGGCGCACATAGTTCCTCGACGCATCTTTGTTTCAAAATTTTACTCCCGCTTGGGTCCTTCCCACTCACTCCCATCGTACACATCACACTCACATCGTGAGACAATAATAATACACATTTTGTGAATTAATAAAACTGACTACGGCATTAATGAGAGGAAGATACTCAAATCAGTTAACATTTTTTTCCAAATTCTTTATTTTCATTTCTCATTTCATTTATTCATTTGCCATAGGCCTGTTTACCTACTTAAATAAATACATTTCATGTGCAAAGAAAAAATAAAAAAACATAAGTGAGGGTACAAGTCGGTTAGATGGCTTTAATGAATCCTCGAAAGATTTCAAACTCAATGGTGATGCATTCCACATCTGATGAGTTAGACAAACGTGGTATTAATATGAGTGATTAAGGTTTCTCTTCGATCTAGAGAACTACAGCCGTTCTATTAAAAAGCTTGAGAATCGAGATTGAATGATTTTGTAAAAGTAGATGAGCAGCCTATATTTTAGATAATCGGGTGAGGAGATTTGGTTTCTAAGTTTGTCATTAAAAACAAAACCTGTAGTACGGTTTAAAGCGTATCTAAATTATATCCGGGAAAGATTTCAATATAATAGTTAACATGCGTTAACATACATGAGGAATGAATGCCCAATGATATAATTAATCTGTAGAGGCAGGTATAGATTTAGATTATTTAGTTTTCGCAGCGTAAGACAAACTTTAGCAGTGACATTGTCAATGTGGAGCCCAAAATAGAGTTTGCGACCAAGGGCATTGAATCTACAAGATCAATGGAATACCCAGATTAAATGACCCAGGACGTGCAAAATCGAAGAAATTTTCATTTTCAATAAATTTAATTCATGAAAGACTACATACTGAATATTGTTTTCTAGTATCCACAGCAAATGTCCAAAGTCAAAGGTTCCAAAT